ACGAGCCAACAGGAGGGGCCGCAGTGCGCATGCGGGAGCGCGCCTCCCCCTCCCCCACCACCCCCTATTAATCCCCAAGAGAACAAACACCCCCCGCGGCCCCCCCGCGGAAGGATCTGAGCCTCTTCCCAGACCACTGGTGGCCAATCCCAGTCTTCCCCGGGGAGGGGCCCTCTCCAAACCCACAATCTGTTGGGGGGAGTCAGGATGCCAGGTCCGGGAAGGGCCAGACCCCAAAGATGAAAGTCGCGACTTGCCCTGCCCCGCCCCAAAGGCTTCCCGAGTAATGTGCTGGGTGGGACTTGACCCACCTCCCCAGGTCAGCATGTCACAACACGACCTCGACCTGTCAAGTCACATGACCTCTGCCTGTCACTGACAATCTGGTCATGTCTTTGAACCAGGAGAGGGCATCTGGTCCAACCCACCCTTAGCCCCGTTTACAGAGGGGAAATGGAGAAATGGAGCAACAGAGCAGGCCTGACCAAAGACCTGTCACTGTCAGCTCACACCGGCCTTCTGACAGTTCCTACTTAGACAAACGCGCCGTCCCGGTGGAAGTATGACAGGTTGTGCAACAGCCACCACATGGCCTCTGCTTTCTATCTACTGGCACAAGAAAAATAGTTCTCATTTTGCATGGTGCCTTTCACTTTTGTTCAAGTTGCCTCCAAGTTCAGAGTTCTTATTTTACCTTTACAACTTTTTTTTTTTTTTCAAACGAAGGGTGAGGCACAGAAATACTAGGTGGCTGGCCTGGGAACCCTGGGCAAGTGGGGGGCAGCTGAAGCTAGAATCTGACCTCTCCTGACATCCTAGTCCAAGGCAGTTGTGCGCTAAGTGCATTTAATAAATATCCCGGGCAACAAGACTCTACTGTAGCCCAAACGTCTAGGAGGCAGGAGGCCCATGCCCAGCTCCTCACATTAGGGAGTCACAGGACTTACTGTCTGGATCAGTGAAAAGGGCGGGTCTTGGTCTTTGGTGAAGGGCCCCAGAGCGTCCTGAGGGGAGATGAGTGAGGAAACGGAATCCGACCCATCGGGGAAAGAACATGAATTCTGGCATGTTGAGAACTCATTAGAAACTTTATCAAGACAAAAGTTCAGGGTACTCCTCTGAAAGGACCTGAAAATGACTACTAAGGGGATTCAAGTACCTCAGCTCCTTTTTTGGGTAGTTAGGGGCTAAAAGATCAGACCCCTTTAAGAAGACTCGAGATGTAGACAATCCTGGCAGACGGATGCACACTTTCAAAGGAAGGGGGTTTAAAAGGCTTTGTGCCCATTATTAGCTGGGAGGGGAGCCGAGGAAAATGGAGAAGATAAAAAGGGGGCTAATGCCAGGGGGGCGGACCCAGAACTCCTACGACGAGCAACAGCAAGGTTTCACTCGTCAGCCTAGGGGCAGCTACGGTTGCTAGCCGTTGGGGCCGTAGGGTGCGGAGAGCCGGCGCCCCGCCTCTCTCCTCTCTCCCCCTCCCGCACCTCCCACCGCCCTCGTAGTCCCCTGCGCGTGCGCGCACAGACGGGTTGCCAAACATTGCATCATTCCCGCCCCCCTTCCCTCCCCTCCCCCTTCGAGCTCTCCCCCTCCGCGCGCGCGCATGACTCACTCACCTCCTTGGTGGAGCCTCGTGACCCACAGCCACTTCCGGGTCCAACAAGACCTGGACCCCCAAGCAGGAGGCGCGATGGGGGCGGGGCCGAGGAGCTCCTGAGTGGCGGATGTAAGGGATGAGGCGGGGCCCAAACTGGCGTGCCGCTTTCTGATTGGTAGCCTTCTGGGTCCGCCCCTGAGAGGAGGGCAAGGTCCAGTTAAAAGATCACTGCTTGGGGAGACCGAGGTCAGAGACTAGAGTCTGAGACATCGTGCATATCATGTTGAAGATGAGCGGGTGGCAGCGACAGAGCCAAAACCAGAGCCGGAATCTGAGGCGAGAGGTGAGTACTGACCGTCCATCCACCTTTTACTCTTGCATCTTTGCGACGTTGCCCCCTCAAAGTCGGGGCATCCCCTCTTCAGGATGTGTCATCATCCCCTCCATAATGAAGTTAGTGACGGTCCGAGGGCGAGATGGGGAGAATCCTTTATTCGGGAGAGGTGTTACAGACCCTGTTTCCTTCGCGACAGCATCACCCACCCCTGCCCGGAGCGAAGGGGCCCGGCTGCCCTCAGGAGTTATTCTGTTCTCTGCAGTGGCTGACCTCAGGCCTCCGCGTTAGGCCAGTCTGGTGGGAGGGGGAGCAGCAAGACACACCCCCACGTCGAGAAGCCTGTTGGACCGTAGCTTAGGCCGCTGCCTTGGCTTGGCCACCAAGCAGCCCCACCCCTAGTCCCGTGTCGGAGGCAGCGTCTCAGTGCCAGCATGGCCACGTTGGTAGTGGGGCTCCAGAACCGTACACGGGACAGCCATTCCGCACCTTCAGGAAACTGACAGCCTGGGAAGAAGGATGCCCATGGCCAGGAAGAGCAGATAGGTTTTTTACTTTCCCCCAGAGGTCCCTGGGCCTCCTGCACAAGAGAGCATCCTGTATCTCTTAAGTGTGGGAAGTCATTTGGGGTCTCCCCAGTGTATGGTCCTTCTCCTGAGCGTGGTCCCTGCTTCTTTCTCCCTGTCCTGTCTTCAACAAATCTCTGTGTAACCATTGCATCAGGCCAGTCCCCTGTTTGGCTCTACAGCCCTCTGGCCTGGGGCTCCACTGCTGATGAAAGCCACCTTCCAGGCTCTGGAAGGCAAGGAGGGTTCCCCAGGGAGGACAGTCCTGCAGACAAACACTCTGGGCGATATTGCATCTACAGTCCCCAGAGATAGGCAGCTGCTGCTCTACTTCTGGCTTCATCCTCCCCTCCCTGTAAGAGAGATTGGGGAGAATTTACCCATTCATTCCTAATGAGCACCTACTATGTGCAGTTTGGGGCCCAGGATACATCCATGAATAAGAGAAAAAAAATCTGCTCTCAGCGCTTACAGTTCAGTGGGAAAAGGCATACAGTAAACAGATAAGTGTCATAGAAAAAACTAATGAATTTAAGAGTAGAAAATGCTTTGGGTGAGGGTTAATTTTACATTGGGTGATCAGGGATTCCCTCACTGAAATGACCATTAAATTAAAAACCTGAAAGAGGTGCGGCAGTAAGTAAGCCATGCAGGTAGGCGGGAGAGCTTTCCAGAAGGGACAGCAAGAACAGAGGTCCTGAGGTGGGAGCACGCACAGTATCTTTAGAGAACAGAAGGCCAGTTGGCTGCTCTAGAGTGAGAAGAGGGAGAGTGGTCAACGAGAAATCCAGGGCAGAGAAGGAGCCGACTGTGTGGGTTCTTCTATGCCATTTTATGCGGGAAATTGGAAGTCATTGGTGATTTTGAACAGAGGAGTGACACGACCTGATTTTAAGTTTAAAAAGGCCCACCCTGGTTGCTGTGTTGTGAATAGACTCAGGGAAGGGTGGTAAGAGCAGAAACTGGGAAACCTGCCGTCATCCCAGAGAGATAGTAACTAGATAGTAACAATGGAATTGGAGAATTTAGATTCTGGGTTTGTGAAGAATGAGTTAAGAAATTTTGCTGGTGGTTTGGATTGGATTGTGAGGTGTAAGAGGAGAGGGATCAATGAAGATACCAATGTTCAATGAAGATACAAAGCTACTAGAGTTGCCATTTACCAAGATAGGGAAGGGGAAGAGGAAGATTAGCAGGAGTTTGTTTTAGACATATTAAGTCTGAGATGCCTATGAGACATCCAAAAGGAGACAGCAAGTAAGCAGTTAGATGACAGAGTTAGAGGTCTATACTGGGACTGTACACTTTGGAGGATGTCAGTGTGGGAATGGAATCAGGAAAATTTGTTTTGTTCCCTTCCCTGAAGTATAGTCCTTACTTACCCTGCAGGTTTGAAGCCTGCCTCGAATGTAGAGAAAGCTGAGATGGCCAGGGCTTTCCTATTATGCAATCAGGACTACAAATGTCAGCAACTAAAAATAAAGGAAATGAGGCTCTCCTCTGTCCTTGGAAATGGGTACCGGGACTGTTAACTATCCATACTCTGTAAGACAGGAAGTAAGAGCGGATCAATAGGATGGAGATAAAAGTAAAAGAACCTGGCTCTCCCCCTTCCAAAAGTGGTTAACATATTTATCTTTGATTCCCCACAGTGTTCAAGAAGGAAGTGTATCTTCATACATCACCACACCTGAAAGCAGGTAAACCTAACCAACCCTTTCCCAAAACCAACTCCTAAGAGTTGCTATTTAGCCTTCCTTTATTGGGACCCTGAGAAGTGAAACGCTTAGAGAAGAGAGGAGGGTTTGCATCTGAGCGCTTTTGCTGTCAGACCACATCCATCCACCTGGCCTATACCTAACAAGGGGACCAAATCACTGTTCGTAGAAGCATGTCCTAATCAAAAGATGGCTCTGAGTAAGCAGTCAGCCCCAACCAAGATAATGGGTTTGTCTTACCACACCTCAATCCCCATCAAAGCTAGACTAACCCGCCTTGACCGGTTTGGCTCAGTGGATAGAGCGTCGGCCTGTGGACTGAAGGGTCCCAGTTCGATTCCGGTCAAGGGCATGTACCTTGGTTGCAGGCACATCCCCAGTGGGGGGTGTGCAGGAGGCAGGTCATCAATGTTTCTCATCGATGTTTCTACCTCTCTGTCCCTCTCCCTTCCCCTGTGTAAAAAATCAATAAAATATATTTTTAAAAAAAAGTTAGACTGACCCATGGAACTCCCCACCCAGGAAAAAGGAGCACAACTGATGTGGTAATTGCCCTGGAAACTACCAATGGAGTTTCTCAGGGCGGCTAACTTTTTTGTTGTTAATCTTCACTCGAGGATATTTTTCCATTGATTTTTAGAGAGAGTGAAAGGGAGAGGGGAGTGACAGAAACATTGATGTGAGAGAGACACATCGATTGGTTGCCTCCTGCACACACTCAACCAGGGCCAAGGAACCTGCCACCAAGCTATGTGCCCTTGACCGGAATCAAACTCGAGATCCTTCAGTCCTTGGGCGGATGCTCTATCCACTGAACCAAACCAGCTAGGGCGGGCAGATAACTTTTACTACAATCCCATAAGAATGTATATCCAGGCACTTACTTCTTTGAGTGCTGGACAAAAGCAAGGAGGGATTATTAGTATAGACCAGGGGTTGGTAAATTTTAAAGGGACAGATAGTAAATGTTGTAGATATAGAGGGCCACACAATTTGTCACAACTATTCATCTCCACTGTTGTAGCATAAAAGTAGCCATAAGAAATATGTGAGTCAATAGATGTGTCCGTGTTCCAGTAAAACTTTACTGCAGAAGCAGGCAGCAGGCCAGTTTGCCAAACTGTGGTATAAACTGTTGACTGCTTTGTGGTGCTCATTCCCCCCCACCCTCCCCTCCCGTCCCCACCATCCCAAGTATATCCTTTTTCAGAGCCTGGTCCAGCTGCAGCGATGGCAGCTGAGTCTTTGCCTTTCTCCTTCGGGACACTGTCCAGCTGGGACCTGGAAGCCTGGTATGAGGACCTGCAGGAGGTGCTGTCCTCAGATGAAAACGGGCGTGCCTATGTCTCCCCGCCTGGAAATGAGGAGGTGAGAATGCTACACATAAAGCTGGGCATGGGGGTGGGGGTGTGCTGATTTTCCCATCTCAACTAATAGCGCCTGCCTTTCCTCATTCCCTTGAAGGAAGAATCAAAAACCTTCACCACTCTTGACCCTGCCTCTCTGGCTTGGCTGACTGAGGAGCCAGGACCAGCAGAGGTCACAAGCACCTTCCAGAGCCCTCGCTCTCCAAATTCCAGTCAGAGCTCCCTGGCTCAGGAGGAAGAGGAGGAAGACCAAGGAATACCCAGGAAACGGAAACGGAGTGGTCAGTCCCCGGCCCGGGCTGGAAAGCAACGCATGAAGGATAAGGAACAAGAGAATGAAAGGAAAGTGGCACAGCTAGCTGAAGAGAATGAACGGCTCAAGCAGGAAATTGAGCGTCTGACCAGAGAAGTGGAGGTGACTCGCCGAGCTCTAATTGACCGAATGGTCAATCTGCATCAAGCATGAACACTTGGGACCCTCACTTCCCCCCTGAGCCAGTACCATCTTTTCCCAGAGGTGGCTACTAACCACCTTCTTATGAGTGTCAATGATGTGACCCTTAACCCCATACCTACAGTAGAGGGAAAGCTCTGGGTAGACAAGAAGAAAGGATCTCAGCATGTATATAGAGATTGCATATTTATTTATTACTGTCCATATCCATTAAAGTGACTCTATAAGTCAAGTTCTCACTTTCACTTTTTCTTCTTGCCTTTAGGGGTTTCAAGAGGTTTCCCCTCAGCTAGAGCCAACTGCTTCTTCAGATCCAAGAGTTTAGCCACTTCTGCAGCAACCTGGTTCTTGTCTGCCTTTTGTGCTTTCAGTTCACGGACAATGTTGCCCTAAGAGAAGAGGGAGGAGGTGGGGGAATAACAATAGTGAGACCAGAAAGGACCTATGTAGGATTTAAGTTTTGTGGTCTCCCACATAGGATTCAAACTTCATACCTGTTTTGTCACTTCATCCATCAGCACTTGTATCTGCTGTGGTCCAGCTGTCTCTATAACTGCTGGCTTGGGGGACACTTTTGCCTGGAGAATAATAACAGAGTTATCACCTGCTACCATAAATATCCCCTGACCTCAAGTTTTATACAACATCTTGGGGTAAGTGATTACCTTTAACACCAGGGACTCTTCTAGCTAAGACAGGAAAGAAAAACTTTAAGTGAGGAAGTAGCAGGGCCAAAAGGTGGAA